CATAGAGGTGACACATTGCTGAGGGCAGTGTTTAACAATTAACAAAATAAGACTGAATTGCATAAATTTACTCCGAGGATAAAAAGTGGTTTTCATCTTTTCAGTTGAAATTTTTTGTTTACCTTTGGGAAGATTTTGTCTGAAATACGTCTTGGATGGGCTTTTCTAAGTTGGATAACTTATGCCCAGTCCTTTTCTTTCATGAATAAGTTGGATGTATGGATCAGAAAGTTCCAATATGGACCTTGCATATTCTGTGTCTTTGTGAGGAGATGATAAGGACTGCTGCTTCTGCTGCCATGTGGTTTCCCTGGTCCAGATTTGATCTCCTCAGGTGGCTTTGACTGTGATAACGTAAACATTCACATCAATCTCACCCCTGTAAGCCAACCGCGGCGCTGGACTTATCACTGTGTACACTTATACCTAACACTGCTTAACATTGACTGTTATTGGACACTAATGTTCATCATCAGGCTGTATTCATCTCACACTCACATGTTAGCTTATACAGTTCACACTTCAGCTGCATATACACAGTTCAGCTGCCATCTCCTGATCAGTTTTGTTACTCCTGTCTAATCCCTTCAACCATTTTGAAGCCACTGCAACACACCAATATCACACATCTTTCTCTGCCCCTCTGGTTCACATCCCTACATGTGACCCCACCCTGATCTCAGTTATCAACACCCTGATCTCAGTTTTTATAACAACACTTCAGACCTGTTTTTATCCACACCCTGATTTCAGTTTTTATCTACACCCTGATTTCAGTTTTTATCCACGCTCTGATCTCAGTTTTTATCCATGCTGTGATCTGTTTTTATCCCCACCTGATTTCAGTTTTTATCCACGCTGATCTCAGTTTTTATCTACACCCTGATCTCAGTTTTTATCCACGCTCTGATCTCAGTTTTTATCCCCACCTGATCTCAGTTTTTATCCACGCTCTGATCTGTTTTTATCTACACCCTGAATTCAGTTTTATCTACACCCTGAATTCAGTTTTATCTACACCCTGATCTCAGTGTATATCCCACCTGATTTCAGTTTTTATCTACACCCTGAATTCAGTTTTATCTACACCCTGATCTCAGTGTATATCCCACCTGATTTCAGTTTTTATCTACACCCAGATCTCAGTTTTTATCTACACCCCTGATCTCAGTTTTTATCTACACTTGATCTCAGTTTTTGTATCAACACCCTGATTTCAGTATTTTATCCACAATGGCTATGAGTTTTCTTTTATCAGTGTCAGCATGTCTTCCAGAACCTATCAAGGTGCCTACAACACAATGCGCTACTTTCTACACATGCCGCGATTATGTTACGCTAATGCAACGCCATACCACACCACACCAACTGCCGCCATGATTGTCTGCCCTGCCCACCTGTATATAACTCTACTCTGGACATACAACTTATTCCCTCGCACAGGCTTTGGTTTTCCTACGCAATTGAAGCCTAAGTCCTCGGTGGGGCAGTTCCAGCAGTGGGTTGTGCTGCTGTCTAACTGACCACGATTGAGTCCCAAGCACTCTGGATCAGGGGATAACTCTCATTTCTAAAAACCTAGATACAGGCTTATATGATTACGAATGCAGTAAGTTACACAGTTCTGTCAATGAGCAAGAAGTTAAGAATTTTAGAAACATTTCGATCTTTTTATGAGCTCCACTATCAAATTCCTGTTTTAATGGGGAATGTTTGATAATACCTCTCCTATCTTGAACTGAATCTGTCCTGTATTTCATAAACTCTCGACTTTCATTGTTTATTTCTATGTGTTGTGATTGCTACATGCTTACGAGATGTATTATATGTGTTATATTTGTTAAAATTATATACTTTTATGTAATGTCAGGATAGTCAGGTACGCTTCCTCCTCAGTGGATAAGGATTTATATTTGCATGTGGGAAAGGATTTAACCCTTCCATGAAACTAACTGGAATGCTTCATTCAGCATGAATAGTGTAGGATCCTTTGTGTGGTATAGGAATGCATGTCACTTCAGTCAACTCTAAACTTGTGATGATCGCTATGTGGAAATAGACTTTTTCAGTTCCAGAGATCATGCCTCTGCCAATCTAATCTACAGGAACACTTTATACATATTAACTTTGAACTTTTAGTCTCGTAAATAAGGATCGCCTCAGAAATAACAAAATAATATATGAACCCTTTCTGAATTTTAATTAGTTTATTTTCCATTCTGACTCTCTGGTATAACTGAATGTTGGCTAATTCCTAATTTTATTTTCTAAAAATATTTTTCTCGCTAAGTTTCCTAAATTCTTTGGAAACCTGACTACAGGGATTCAAGAGAGGAATACAATTCTATGTATGAAATGATAGGCAGAGATGGTATGTTATATACGTATGTGGCAAAGAAATATGTAAACATATTACATGTTCTTTTTTTTCTGAAAGTTTTTGTAATTTAACGAAAGAGATGAGCACAATTTGATGATCAGTTTGAAGAAGATGTGGACTCAATATTCATGGAGTATGTTTCTGCTAGGTGGCAGCAGCTCAATCCAGTGAAATTCCCCTGGCCGCACGCTGCATGTGTCTGAACTTGAAGATGAGGGGAAGTCAAGCAGGTTCAACATTTCAGGACACCAGCCACAGGGGTAAGGTGTGAACCAATGAGGAGAAGCTAGAGGAATCTCTGAGGAGAAGCTGGGAGTGTGTGAACTCTGAGCTTCTGTTGGTTGTTGGCCCGGTGATGATTATGCATGCCAGAGTTTTGATCTTGGAGACGATAGCATTAATGTATTTGAACCTGAATCTAGCTTCTTGATATCAGTAGATAAGAGGTGGACAGATTGATGTCCTAGGATGTGATTTATACTTAGAAAAATGGTAGGGGATATCCTGATGTAATATGGCGATCCCTAGGTACAATGATAGGGATATCCTGATAATAGTACCGGGAATATCCCTGATGACAATACTGGGAATATCCTGATGATACCTACTGGGGATATCCTGGGACGACAATTATAGGATATCCTGATGAATACTACTTCGTGGATATCCTGATGACAATACTGGGGATATCCTAATGACAAGACTAGGGATATCCTGATGAAAATGCTTGGGATATCCTGATGGAAAGACTAGGGGTATTCTGAGGACAATACTTGGGATATCCTGATGACAATACTTGGGATATCCTGATGACAATACTGGGGATATCTCGATGATAATACTGGGGATATCCTGATGACAATACTGGGTATATCCTGATGACAATACTTGGGATATCTTGATGACAATACCGGGGGGTATCCTGATGACAATACTGGGGGATATTCTTCCTGATGACAATACCGGGGGATATCCTGATGACAATACTTGGGAATATTCTTCCTGATGACAATACCTGGTGATATCCTGATGACAATAACAGGGACATCCTGATGACAATACTGGGGGATATCCTGATGACAATACTGGGGATATCCTTCGAATGACAATACTGGGATATCCTGATGGAAAGTTGACTATAGATATCCCATAGCAAGGTACCAGACATATCCTGGTAATGATAGCAGAGATATACATACCAGATATGACCGGTCTTATAAGTTTAATTTTGAGGACCAAAATGCAGTCTGTAGAAGGGGTCGTCGCTTTTATCCATGGGTTACGCCAGCTAAACTTTTTTCCAGGGGTAAGAAAACAACATCGCGACACTTCAAGGCGGAACAAACAACAGAAGACCTACTTTGTCAGTAGAGACGCTTAAATTTGGTAATTAAACATCACTTCAGACAAGATTATTTACCTTTTTAAGTTATAAGTTGTTTTTGCTGGGCATTGTATTATTTGGTAGGATTAAGATTACCGTATGCGATTTGGGGATCTAATTCTGACGAGTCATCAGTAAAATATAATACGTGGAATGTTTATTTAACTCTAAAAATATATCTCAGCATTGTGTAATTTTAGTTACAGTTTTTGCTCTATAAATTAATTAAGATTAATGGTGGTATTTGGAGCCGAAATAGCAATCAGCTGTGTCACACCTTTCCCGCAACAAACAAGTTCAAACATGCACAATAATATAATCGGATCTAATTCTGACGCTGCGAGTCGCCAGTAAAATATATAATACAGAATACTATTATTTAACCCAAAGAAATATATCCTAGCATTGTGTAATTTTTATTTACAGTTTTATGTAAAATATATATAATCAACACTAAGGTTATAATGGACCCTCATGAACGATGTAAGCACATTGAATGATGAAACACGGAAGCCATTTAAATTCACACATTTTTACCGATGTTACTGTTAACTAGCAGTCAATGGAAAATCGACGGTAATCAGTTCGTGATTGTTGAATGGGGTAAAATAAGCAAACCAGTTTGTTGCCAATAAATATGATATTTCTTAGAGAAGCAAAATATATTATGCATTTTCTGTCAACTACACTCGCTTCGGATCCGTGGAGCAGACACAATATATATGACAGTGAATTCTTTGAATAATGTGGACCAAAGTTATAATTATTGGTAACTGCCAGTGGTCTGTGTTTGTCGCGTTATAGACCCCATCGCTGGGGATCAGGATTTCTATGCACCTTAATCAGTACCATTTTGACACTGATTTATAAGGGTCAAGTTGAAGTCGCCTTATCCATGGGGTCGCCTTTGAGATCGTCATATACATATTACAATAGCAGCAATATCTTTTTCAACCTACAAGGGATACCCTTCTAAAATACAATAAAAGGGTCCCTCATGTACAATATTGAGATATAACTCCTGAAAGTACTGGAAAGCAATTTGTGTAAAGAAAATTTTTTTATAGTATTTCATTTACATGCTACAAATGTTCACATGGATATTTAACCTTCATAGGAGATGGTTGCTCTCCAATAAACGGTAAATCCAGAACCAGTTTGAGTCCGTGCTCCGCGCTGGACTGGACATCGGAGCATGTGTCGCTGGCTCATCCTGCTGGAACTGGACAGTACACCGATGCCCCTTCCAGGACAGGAACATCTCGGACCACAGCTGCTGCAGATGGATGGTTCAAAACTCAAGGTTGGTGGTACCAAGGGATTCCGTGATTGAATGGCTCCTCAGTGACCTATGGTGGTCATAAGAACTACAAGCTGATCTGCTTGTTATGGGTTTTGTGAATCGCGCTCAATGTATCAAGTACTGTTTGGGCTGAAGTGACTTCATCTTTTTCCTGTTTTAGCTATGTTTGTTTGCTGTTAAATTCAGCAATATTGCAGCTATATGGTGGTGGTCTGTAAATTATCAGGACTGACTAGACAATTCAGTGATCAACATCATGAGCATTGATCTGTGCATGGGATATAATGATATGTGTCAACGAAGTCAGTGAGCCTGACTACCTAATCCCGTAAGTCACCTCTTATGACAAGCATGGGTTGCTGGAGTCCAATTCTAACCCAGATCTTCACAGGTAGTGATGAGTATATAAGTAATGTAACCGTAATGGATAGATGATGATGATTAAAACAGAACTCTTCCCTATATCAACAAGTACTCTGTTTGTTTCAGAGTCTTGGGGTTACCAATGGCAAAGATCGCGGAACTACTCAAGAAGAAGATCAAGGAGCTTAAAGCTGCCATTGAGAAAGAGAAGAAACAGCAGGAGAAGGAGAGGAAGGCACGAGAGAAGGAACAGAAGAAACAGATGAAGAAGAAGTGAACACTTCAAGGCAGCTGTGATTGGCTGAAAAGTGAAATGGACACATTTGATTGGCCAATAAAGTGAAAAGAACCATTCCTCCTGTTTTTCGGAGAATTATGAGGAATGTTGTGGAACCTGGTCACCTGACTGAAATGGTGGACACAGATGATCGGTCTAGAGGAGAACCTGCAGCTAGGACTGACTAAAGTGTCACAAATGTGATTATCAGTACAGTGATAGTTCCCATGTACAGTTGTGTATGTACACACCAGCATGCCTGTAAACTGGTCGTATAGTACCGGACATATGGGATGTGATAAAACCCTTGATGGGTTATTTTAGTGATCCACCCATGACAATGACTCTGGAGAGAATGCTCCAGCTAGCCCTCAGCAACAAATACCCTGAAGTGTGTACAGATTGAGAGCTGCATTGCAGATAGGTCAAACCGATCGCAGGATTGTATTTTTCCTGCGGCGAACTTGTATCTTGATCATGCTGTGGTACGTTTGTCAACACATCTCGACGAATTTTACCCATGCAATATACCAATGTATTATAGAATCTGTATAAAAGCAAATTGTATGAACATGTAAAACAAAGTGATTGTGTAACATTAGATCATGAAACCACATCATTGATTGATTTCTAGATAATCCATTCATCTCATAGGGGAAGCGCTGTTGTCATTATTTTTCACATATATCGGTGTAATACACAGCTAACGTCAATGTCAAGGTGAAGGCCGATCCACTCAGTTGCCAAACAATCACACACAGTGTCAGGATTTTCAGGGATGTACTATTTCTGGTCACATGACTGAATTTACAAGTTGATGAAACTGCTAATAATTGAGATCCGCATTTACAAGTGAAATCAATTGTACGCAATCCTGTTTGAAAGATGATTGATTGATTGACCAGTCTGGTGCAACGTTTTACTGTTCATAGTCGTGTCAATTCCAGCCTTCTTCCCACCCATGGAGACCTGCTGTGAAATAAATGAAATACTGTTTTTAATTCGGCACAAGGCTTCAATCAGTGTAAGAAGTACAGAAAGGACCCAAGCCTGTATGCTAATAGGAAAATATCTTCTTGATCCTGACGAAATGGATACTTCGATCATGAATATAGTTTCAATTTACCATGGGATATGGAAATACTTGGAGGCAATCAGTGTAATGTTAACCAGATATCCTTTCTACCTGATGTGTTGCTTGAGTGAAGTACCTTGAGAAGTATTCATGTGTTACAATTCAGTATACTCAGTCTGTCTGTAAGATAATCAGATCTATATAAATTATCTTCGTATTTTCTGTGTCAGGGTCACTTTATCCAGGATCCGGTGTAATCATGTTTTCAAATATATTTCATTCACTTTGTAACCTTTAACTTCTTATTAACCTTGACCTGTATTAATATCCTTGACCCTATGTGGTGTAACCTTGACCCTAGGTGATATAACCTTGACTGAGGTATGAAACTGTTTGTCTCAACTTGTGACCATTAGTGACAGCCCGGTCTCAGAATGTACAGTCATATTGAAAACATATTCATGTATTTTTTCCGTGTGACAAGAACATTCATGATAAAACATACCAAGGCAGGTTTTTTCTTTACATCAAATATATATGTATATCTTACAACCTTGAAGGTAGAAGTTCTCATGCCATGTGAACGTTTTAGAAGTGATGACTTACGAAAATGCTCAAACTTGAACAATGCATAAAGATATTCATTTAGACCAGAACTTGATAAGTGAGTGCTATGAAACGGTTAATAGTGTTGAGTTTTGGACAAGGGAGATAATCAATTGTGATGTAGATAACAATATGCTCAATAAATTAAACATTTTCAAGAGAGTGATTTGCTCACAACTTCACGTTGTCTCGATTGCGATGTTCAATTATGTGTGGCACACCTGGGGAGACAACTTTGTGAAATATGTATCTGTAAGAAGTTTTATCCAGTCGTTGTTTTCAAATACTATTGACACAGATAAAAGTGAATTTAAGATTGTGTTATCCACTGTTTTTTATTTCCCCACACGTAAATAATCTGTTCATGCCCAATGATGCAATTCTGTACACTTACATATGAAACTGCACAAAGCTTGGTGTGTTATTTCAAATTTTAAAAGATCACCAAACTACAGATTAAATCTTTTATCTTCAACACTAGAAGGGGCAGTGGGGTAGCCTAGTGGTTAAAGCGTTGGCTCGTCACGCCGAAGAGCCGGGTTCAAATCCCCACATGGGCAAAATGTGTGAAGCCCATTTCTGGTGTCCCCCGCCATGATGTTGCTGGAATATTGCCAAAAAAGGGGCGTAAAACAAAACTCAGTCAGTCAGTCAGTCAACACCAGAAACAGGCTTTGATTGCACCTTGAGTTATCTCCCTTGGTATGCCACCATATTGTTTGTTGCTTCTGATTGTTGTCTGTGTTGCGTGTTGAAGTCAACTGTTATTATTTACGTGTGTATCCATGTCGGTACTTTATTTCCTGAACGAAATTTTAAACATGATTTGTTCTTATTCTCAAAGTTCTGTTCCATTTATGACAAAAGGGCCCCTAGAGCTTGAGTGACTAAAGGGAGTCAGTCTTGGGTGCAAGTCCCAAAGTGGGTCGTTCATAGATTACCAGTTCCACAAGAGCTGTATGAACCAAAGAAGCTGTAATTGCCTTGTTAAACTAATGCAATCAATTTTCTACCAGACCAAGTGCTAATATTCATGTTGTGAGACGAGAGGCTGCTCTGTCTGTATTCTTCTGTTTAATGGGATTTGTTGGGTCAACTTTACAACTCTTCTTTATATGGCTTTGTGATGACAATGCAGGCACATAGACGTCTTTATATTCAAAATGGCTCATTATGTGTTCAATATACATTAGAGTGCATTATTAGAAAAATTGCGCATTTTCTGAGCAAAATGGTAAGATTTGAACATTTATGACATTGAACCATTATTTACACATTTTTTCCAGGGTGAACACTATATGATAGACATGATGAATTCATTGAAAACCTAACCTGCTGGTAATGCTCAATTTTTGTTGAGTGAGTGGCAAGGTAAAAATGTCATCTGAATCATTTCGAGACTTTTTGACTGATTTTTATCTCAATATCACTTCTATTCACTGTGTATCATATTGAAGTTCTATGCCTCGCCACATAGAACTGAATTCATCGTAGTACATGAGGAAAGCCACTTGCTATCTCTGTGTATGGTCATCGTGACAGTATAATCAAAATTCACTCAGCTAGTTACTTATTTTTGTAGTTCCACTCAGCTATCATCATATGGGAGATGTATTGACTTATATTTAGAAAATGCAATAACAAAACTCGTAGAAATGTACTTATTAGCCCTAGGAACTAAATTCATTTTATAATGATTAGATTATAGATGTTTCAAAATGATTAAATTATAGATGTTTCAGAATAATTAAATCATAGATGTTTCAAAATGATTAAATTATAGATGTTTCAAAATGATTACATTATAGATGTTTCAAAATGATTAAATCATGGATGTTTAAAATGATTAAATCATGGATGTTTCAGAATGATTAAATCATGGATGTTTCAGAATGATTAAATCATGGATGTTTCAGAATGATTTAGAATATCCAAGCTTGATTGAATACTGAAATATCTATCAAATGTCCAGTAGAATTGGTCAGGTACTAAAGTCAGTATGAACTGACCAATGGAATCAGACCCTGATTGCCAAATGCCTGTTTATATCAATATGTGTCCTGTTCAAACAAACAGCATTAACATCTATCAGTGAAATATTCTGCACTCACTCAGACCTATCTTGTGCTAACAAATGACTACTGTATTTGTACCAGAGTGTCTGCAATGTTTTGTCCCTCTGTAAAACCAAACCCATATGATGCCTAGATGACTGCCAGCCTTTCGCTGCCAGTAATTAAGCGCCTTATTGATTTGTGCAAAGCACGAAAACCATGTCGTGTAACTATTAGTTTATGCTCAGGCAGTGCCTGCAGGCATTACCCTCTAACCCCGAGGCTCAGGCAGTGCCTGCAGGCATTACCCTCTAACCATGAGGCTCAGGCAGTGCCTGTGTGCAATCCTGGCTAACCCAGATGCTCAGGCAGTGCCTGCATGCTTTACCCTCGTACCCAGATGCTCAGGCAGTGCCTGCATGCTTTACCCTCTAACCCAGAGGGGATGCTTAACATTGTGTGACTAATAGAATAGATACACCCAAACTGTGAATACATTCTTCGAATTTTAGACTTTAAGTATGAAATTGTCAACGTAACAAATTATTTCACACATGCCAATGCTAATAATGCTGGCCTCACCTTTTTTGCTAACATACAACTGTAAAAAAAACTTTCATATTTTTATATCCACTGAGCAACTTTTTCTAGTGTAGATGTTGCAGTCCTGCTGATGGTAATCCAGGGGCTTGTTTCAAAGAACATTCGTTGCAATACGATTATCGGAACTCCTATATAATTAAGCATGGACCTACGATAGTCATAGAGCTACAGTTACCTTGTGAAACGGGCCCGTAACCATGGGAACATATTCTGGCACAATCCCAGCAGGCTTTGAACATTCTGTTCGAATGACTGGTGTGTGTTTGATGATTGAGACTCTCAGACATATCATAATTGCACTTACGTATAGCAGATCATGTAAGAAAGTTTACAAGGATAGAAACTTCAAAACACCTGGATGTTGTCCTGCATTGTGACATCTCATTATCCAAAAATGTGTCTTAAATTCTCATACTTCCGAACTTAATGTCACAATCATTTCTTAGAAATACAAATTTGATGGAGACAAATTTGTAAGTTTTTATCCATGTAAACAGTCTGTAAATTCAGGTGTAAACACTTGTATGTAGACAACTCTTATATTGCCGATCTTCATTTCGGTCTGGGAGCCGTATATTAAAGTATGTATGATGTGAATTGGTGTTTGTTATTTTGTTCAACTGGTTGTAATTACCTGGTGTAAAGGAT